TTTTTATGTGTTTTTTTTTTTTTTTTTTTTTTTTTTTCTTAAGAGAGAGAGGAAAGAGAGGGAGAGAGGGAAACATCAGCGTGGGAGCGAAAGGGAAACTGATTGGCTGCCTCCTGCACACCCCCTACCAAGGATCAAGCCTGCAACCTGGGCTCAAGCCCTGACGGGAATAGAACCAGCAACCTCCCTTTTGCAAGTAATGGCACCCAACCAACTGCCACACTGCCAGGGCAAGAGGATAAGTTTTCACTTTAGAGGGAGAGGAAGGGAGGGAGTGAGGGGCGGGGAGAGAGAGAAACATTGATCCGTTGCCTCCCATAGGGCTCCGACTGGGGACTGAGCCAGCAGCCTAGCTATGTGCCCTGGCGGGGAATCAAACCCGCAGCCTTTTGGTGTCCGGGACAACGCTCCAACCAACTGAGCCACCCGCCAGGGCATCTTGAAAATTTTAAAGGCTGGGAGGTTAGGGAAGGTCTTAGGGGAGGGTCTCAATAGAATATTCATAGGCTTTACGCTGATGCACCAAAATGATATTTATTCCCCTGACATCATCTGTTCTTGGGTGTGGCTGGCACTAATGGCACTAATTGGATTTCTATTTTCTATCTCCAAGAGTAGGGCGATTTAAGCTATTTACCCTCTTGTTGGGGAGAAGTGGAAACCATTAACTCTTTTGTCCCTGGTTATGGAATACTGGATTTTGCAGTGTACTAGATGGCCATAAACTGCCTGGCCTTTAACTCTCGGTCTCAGTTTCTCTGTTCCACTTGTCCTGGCTTACTGGCTTGTTTCAGAAAGACACAAAAATGTGTGTGAGTGACTCCTTTCTGGGACTCTCCTTTGCTCATGACAGCTAGGATGTCACTAGGTGATAGGAATTTTTCAGCTCCAAAATCTTATGGGACACCATTGTATATTAGATTCATCATTGACCATGTTGACTGAAAAATATTAACTAGGTGTTTCATCTCCAAAAGGAATTTATTTGGGGAAAAATTAAAAAGTTGTAAGAGACCCAGGATTAGGCCAGGAGCCTTAATGAACTAATCAGAAGGTTAACGTTTGCAACCGTTGCCTGCAGCCGTTACGAGCCGCGTGCGCACTGCTCAGTGTGCAGGGAGAGAAGTGTGTGGAAGGGAACAGGTTAGGGGGACAGCTCCAACCACAGGGTTATGGCCAGCATAGCACTCTTCCTGTGGGGTTCTCGTGATGACATAGCACTGGAACTTCTCCCATAAGCACTAGCTCCTCCCGCAAGCCCAGGTTCATGGAAAGTCTCAATCATAATCTTTAAAAACCAAAATGTCATTATGCTGTATCTCCACCCTTGGCCTGGGCACTTGCCCTAAGAAAATGCCCATTCTCCGCCCAATTGTGAATATGTTCTGTTCTGTACAATCTGTGCAGTACAATCTGGGAAGCCACCCAGCGCCTGCCGTAGAGGAGACTGCACAGGTTTTCATGTGAAGCCATGAAAAAGTCTGTGTGGCCTGCAAGGAGCCAGGGCATTGGGGGTGGGAAGGCCATGTCCATGGAAAAGGGAAAGCGGAATCCACGACACAGTGATTGCAATGGTGTATGTGCAGAAAGGCTTAAAGGACAATTACCTGAAAAGATTTAAAAGTGATGCTGTGTTTACAAAAAAAGAGAGAGAGGAGGGGCCCTGAGACCTTTAAAGTTATATAAATTCACAGTTAAAGAGACACGAAACTCCACTGAATGAAACCACAGGGAATATCTGTGGTTGACACGGCCTGTCTTCTGATTCAGGCCCACAGTGGTCCATTGGCTCTAGCTTTAGGTTCTACAGAATTGTGTTTTTCATACCAACTGTTTTCATTTACACCCCTGTCTTCTGTCTCATTTTGGCTTACTTTTGCAATACATTCCAAAAGCATCCCTCTGCTAAGTAGCAGGAGGCCACTCTGGGGATTAAAGTCACATGTGGTTTCTGCAGTAGTGAGAGGTGCCTGGTCGTGGTTTGGAAGTTGATGCAGAAGAGATAAGCTCCCCACCCTCACATAGTCAGGAGCAGACCTTTCATGTTTTGAGGATCTGGGTACATCCCCAGATGTAGGTTTGGGGAAGGAAAGAGGGCTGTCATCAGAAACACCAGGGGTGGGAATCTGATTAGGTCCCAGCATCACACATTTGGACCTGTTGCAGTGTTGACTGCGTGTGGTCTGGTGGAGGTAAGGATTAGAAGCTGTCTCTGGGAACCTAAGAAGAACAGAGTTTTGTCTGAACTTAGAACCGAAGAGTTTGTGTCCCTTGAAGAACTGAGAGGCAGTGTTGCAGCAGCAGCAGAGAATCCTTGGGCACCTGCTCTCCTTCCTGGGGAGTGGGAGTCAGATGAATCCACTGCTTGGACCACATGACCCTCCCAGACAGAGCCTTTCCCAAGATGTACTGGATTTACTGGGACTGGCAAAGGAGCTGGGGGTTGAGGGGAGGTGGAAGGTGGTTTTAAATTAACTGAAGGAAATAAGCTAAGAGTACAAACCTGCAGGTAAAGTTACAGAGCAATTCATAGCGGTTCCTGGAATGCTGAGGAAGAACAGCCCAATGTCCCAGCAGCAAGGATTAATGGTGCTCTGCAGACGGGTAACATTGCACCCAGGATTCCAGGTCCTGCTGGTCTTCTGGGTGGATGCTCTTATATTTCAGTCTCAGCTGCTCCTGTCTGTGGAATTTCTTGCTGGCTGACAGAGGCTGTGTTCTCTCCAGTTCTCACTGTGAATCTTGGGCTAGCAAGAGGTTTAACTCAGAAGGTTGCCTCTGAAAATTTCAGAGAAAAATATACATGTAATCTATGGCATGAGATCTAAAGTGAAAAATAAATGTAAAAAGCTAGGAAGTTTTCAAAAATTTTATTCTGATAGCAGTTACAAATGAACTTTTTAATATTTTTTAAGAAGTCCACCAGAAATCACACTTTTACCTTGAAAGCTGGCAGAACTCCCTAAAACCTGTGCTTCTTTCCTTCTAACTGGAGTATATTGGGGGGCACGCCCAGGAACCGCACCCCTCCTTCTGTGATGGTTGGCATTTATGTGTAACTTTTTGTTTTCTGTCTCTTTCAGTTCTTGGCCCAGTTGATGGTGTTTCTGATCAGTTTCATAAGCTCCGTGTTCTGTGGCCACCTGGGAAAGCTGGAATTGGATGCTGTCACTCTCGCCATCGCAGTATGTGTGGGACTGTTTTAATATTTCAGTATTATTTGTGAAAGCCATCTATGTTAGTTTCTTCTAATAATTCTTAAGAATTACATAATTTAGCAGCTTAAAACAGTGTGAATGTGTTATCTTGCAGTGCTAGAGGTCAGAGGTCACTGAGCTAACAATCAAGGTGTTGGCAGGGTTGCAACCTTAATTCTCCTTTGCCCTATAACTTCACACATTCCTACATTCTGAGGGTTAAGACAGGGACCTCTTTGAGGGGCCTTTATTCTGTCTACCACATCAGTTAATTTGTAATCTATGGAGATCTGGCTCCCATTCTTGGTTCCACATCTGGGAGAAGGGAATCAGAAAAGAGGAGTTGAACTCTGACCTCAGAAGAAACTGTGGATGGATAGGGCCTGGTTGGACAGGCGTGAGGGGGCATGAGGGCATGCGAATGTGAGCGCACATATTGGGGGCTTTCTCCCACGCCATCTGAGAGAGCTAGAGCACTTCCCCCCAGTTGGTAATCACTCTGTCATATTTCAACACGCAGAAGTGAGTAATGAAAAGCAGCCGAGCCGAGGGGTCATGAGGATGTAAGTGTTTGAAGGCTCACATCCTCTACTCCAGGAATCATGAATAAACTGGAGGACAGAATAAAGAGGGCAGTTGGGTTCCCCCAGCCAACCCCACCACCATGCATTGCGGCTACACTGACAGCAGCCACAACCACTGTGGGATGTCAGCATTCTGATTTCAAAGAGCCAAAAAACTTGTGCCATCTGCTAGAAAATGATAAAAAGACTTCATCCTAGTAATCTGCTAGAAAAGTGCCACTCATGCATAGATGCCTAGACAGAGAAGAAATCCATCAAATACCAAGAATAACCAATGCAGCTCAGGAAGAAAACGAAAACGCTCCAGAAAGCAAACTTACACACATGGAAATATGTGACATAAATGACAGAACTCAAGGTTGCAGTTCTGAAAATAACAAGATACGAGAAAGTACAGACAGGCAATTTAATGGACTGAGAAAACAGATTAAGAAACAAAACAAGTATTTTACCAAAACTAAACAGAAATTCTGGAGATGAGGAACTCAATAAAAGAGTTCAGGAAGAACTAGTGCCTGGCCAGGTGTGGCTCAGCAGTTGAGCATCGACCTAGGATCCGGGAGATTGCATTTTGATTCCCGGTCAGGGCACATGTCCAGGTTGTGGGCTCGATCCCCAGTCAGGGGCGTGCAGGAGGCAGTTGATCAGTAATTCTCTCATCATTAATGTTTCTGTCTCTCTCCCTCTCCCTTCCTCTCTGTGAAAAATTTTCCTCTCAAATTAAAATACTATTATGACTGCAAAAAAAATAAAAATTAAAAAAAAAGAACTAGTGAGTATAGGAAATAGAGCAGACCAGATGGAGGAAAGAATTACTGATATCAAAGATAGAAATATAGAAATGATGCAGAGGGAAGAAGAGAGAGGCTTAAGCATAGAAATAAAATGAAAGAACTCTATGAGAATTATTTGACTACTTCAGAAAGAGCCATATAAGAATAATAGGTATACCAGAAGAAGAAGAGAGGGAGAACAGAATTGAAAATCTATTCAAACAAATAGTTAATGAGAAATTCACAAACCTATGGAAAGAACTAGGTCCTCTAATCCAAGAAGCAAACAGAACACCTAGATAACCTCAATCCAAAGAGGCCCTCTCCAAGACACATTGAATTAAAACTGTCAAAAATTAATGACAAAGACTTCTCAAGACAGCCAGCGAAGGCAAGAAAGTAACCTACAAAGGAAAGCCCATTAGGTTTTCATCGGACTTCTCAGCAGAAACTCACAAGCCAGAAGAGAGTGGAACCAAATAGTCAAACTACTGAAGGAGAGAAATTACCAGTCAAGAATAATATACCAAGCAAAGTTATTCTTTAAATGTGAAGGAGAAATAAAGACTTTTTCAGACATACAGAAGCTAAGGGAATTCATCACCGGAAGACCTCCATTGCAGGAAATACTCAAGGGGATTATTCTACCTGAAACAAAGAAAAAAAGGTCACAAAACTATGAGTCAGATGACCACAAACTTACAGCATAAACGGGTAATCTGTGACAACGGAACATAAAAGAGGAGGGGGTAAAGGTCTAACTGACTGAAGAGGATGGACATCAGACACATTCAAAAGAAAAACGACTGCTGCATATATGGAACTTTCTTTCTCATAAATCTAATGCTAACCACACACAAAAAACCCAAAACGGAGACACATAGCTTAAAAACAGAGGAGCCAGAGGAGAGAAGTATGGAACACCAACAAACCAAAACAACAAACAGGAACACAAAGAAAAAGAACCAATGAAAGCACAGAGCTACAGAAAACAAAAGATAAAATGGCTATCGGAAATCTTATACATCAATAATTACCCTAAATGTAAATGGACTGAATTCACCAATAAACAAGTATGGGGAAGCAGAGTGGATCTAAAAACAAAACCCAACCATATGCTGCTTTCAGGAGATACATCAAAACTGCAAAGACAAAGGTAGATTCAAAGTGAAAGCTTGGAAAATGATTCTCCAAGCAAATAACATCCACAGATAAGCAGGTGTGGCCATACTTATGTCTGACAAAATAGGTTTCAAGGCAACAAAGGTATCAAGAGACAAAGATGGGCACTTTATAATGATAAAAAGGGACACATATCAAGATGACATACCACTTATCAATATATATGCTCCCAATCACAGGTGAGGACCTTCATACTCCATTGACAGCACTAGACAGATTATCCAAAGAGAAAATCAATGAAGAAATAGCCTTAAATGACACATGAGCCCAAATGGACACAATTGACATTCACCGAGCCTTTCATCCCAGAACATCAGATTATACCTTCTTATCCAGTGCACATGGGACATTCTCAAGGGCAGACCATATGCCAGCTCATAGAACTAGCGTCAACAAATTCAAGAAAATTGAAATTATACCAAGCATATTCTCTGACCACAATGCTTTGAAATTAGAAATCAACTGCAAAAAGGAAGTAAAGAAACCCACAAATATGTGGAGATTAATCAGCATACTACTAAAAAATGACTGGGTCAAAGAAGAAATAAAAGGTGAGATCAGCCCACCCGGCGTGGCTCAGTGCTTGAGCTTCAACATATGAACCAGGCGGTCATGGTTTGATTCCTGGTCAGGGCACATGCCAGGGTTGTGGGCTTGAGCCCCAGTAGGGGGCGTGCAAGGACTCTCTCTCATCATTGATGTTTCTATCTCTCTC